GGTGGTTATAATGGGTGTCATCTAACTTAACAAGATAAAGGCAAATGGCAGCATCGTTGTATACACCCTTTCCATTCTCTCAGAGACAAAATTGCTTTAAATAATCCTAAATGTCTCACAGTAATCATACATGCAAAGCACAGTAGTTGGCATTTATTTTTAGTCAGCATTATGCATTAAAGGAGAGTTATTTTCTTCACATGTAGAAGGAAATTGCTTTCTAGATATATGATAGAATAAAAATAAGTATTCTTAAAAAGTCATTTAGAAGAAATTGCCAAGTTTAAAGGGGGTAAAGGTTGGTTATGAGTCATTTTGCTACCGACTGCTCCTCCATATAGCGACATACACACACCGCCCCAACTCTTGTTTGGAATAATATCCTTTGTGCTGGGGCAGCTCAATTTAATTTTAACAGTGTTAGCTGGAGGAGGAGGATGTTGCCCCCAACTCACCTTTAGGCCTATTGTGATTTCAAATCAATCTCAAAGGGCCTTGCTTTGAATTTTTATCCTGAAGGTTTTTTTTTCTCAGACAGGTAGCAAACTTCAGCTACTCAATATATACAGTATTCAGAACCAGTGACGCCATATGTGAGAATTTAACTGAACATTCCAAAGTTTAAGCCCCTTTGCTCTCTTTTGAAAAAAGAATAACATCTGAGGGTTGGGTTGGGAACCAAGTGGGCAGGGTCTTTTCATCTAAGTTTTTTCTCCACTAGAGTCTACCCATACACTGTTAGGCAAAATCCGACTTTTCCCCTGCACTTCTACTAACTTCCCCGCATGCTCATCTGAAATGGGGGTTGGGAACCAAGTGGGCAGGGTCTTTTCATCTAAGTTTTTTCTCCACTAGAGTCTACCCATACACTGTTAGGCAAAATCCGACTTTTCCCCTGCACTTCTACTAACTTCTGCTACCCGCATGCTGCATGTCCTAATCTGGAAACACTACCTTCTGCTCTCCTATTCTGCCCGCGTTCAGAGTTTGCCTCAGGAGACAAGACAAGGGAATCCTTGATTCTAGAAAACTGTCAGACGAAAAGCTCATCTTGATAGGTGATAGGGGAAGAAAAATGCCCCATTTGTTGTTTAAAAGGTCTTGAGGGAAGACTTTCCCGCCAGCCATTGGTGTCTAGGCCAAGAAGCTGTTCAGAAATGGATGGATGGATGGATGGATGGATGGATAGATAGATAGATAGATAGATAGATAGATAGATAGATAGATAGATAGATAGATAGATAGATAGATAGATAATTTGCTTGCTTGCTTGCTTGCTTTCTTGCTTGCTTGCTTACTTACTTACTTACTTACTTACTTACTTACTTACTTGAACTCTTTGTCACTTTATTTATCTGAATTATCTATTCATTTGAAATATTTATCTTCCCCTCATGGCTCCCAAAGTGATGTGTGGGAGGCAAAGACATTCCTTAAAAGCTAGATTAAAACAAGTTTTAAAAGTCAGTTTTTAAAAAAGCCATCCTTATTTACAAACATCTTTAAAATACAATTCCAAAAGCAAATTATAGCACCACTTTAAAGATCAAAAGACCTTAAGGATGAATGCGGTCTTGGTCTCTCTGTAAAAGCTTAAGAGCATATTTTGGAATTACAGGCTTGAGGTGCAGAAAAACTGGTGGAAATAAAGGAATAATAAAAATTTTGTTTATGACTGGAAACTGGTTTTAAAAATGGGCATGGATAAGCATTGTAAGGTAAGCCTAGCCTCAGGCCTGCTTTCCCCTCTTCTTCCAGCAGGGTGCAAAGAGGATTTGAAAACATTTTGGTTACATTTTAGGTTAACTGTATTTTGCTAGATCACCTCAGTTCTGACAAACTGTGCTTAATCTTGATTCTGTTTGCAGGAAACAAGCTGAAGTATAATTTATGTAGCTGGCTTGTTTTACCAGCTATAGTTAGGAATAAAACCAGTTTAGATTCAGACATCATGCTAAGTCACAGGTAATCTAAAATGGAAATGGAAAGCTTCCAGTTTCTTCTTTGAGGCTGTGTAAGCTCAGAAAGAGATAAGCTATTCTACGTACAGCTTGTACCTCAGCCCAGCAACAAACCTGGTAGGCTGCATTTCTGACAGGAAAACATGTCAGAATGTACTAACATTAACCTTGACTTCCCTGTCATCATTTTTTAAAGCACTGGTCATTTCAAAATAAACCTCAACATACCCTTATGCTGTTTGTGGGCTTTGCTTAACACAGCCTAAAATGGAATCCGTTTCCCCACATCACCAAGATTATCCACAGATGCTAACTGCATAGGATTTATACTTTGTATTTTAATGGAACTTGGGTAATATATAGAGTTTATATTAAAGCAAAGTTGCAGTAGCTTTATTTATTGGACTTATTGGAAGCATTTTTCTTTACTCTTCAATATTTGACTTCCATGGCATTATTTTTGCAACCTCCCCAGTTTTTCGTATATACATGGATGTTGTACTTCCAAATCAAAATCATGCTGCTAGTATCATTGACAAAACAGTTCAGAATTTATTTGCCTTTGTTTGGTAATATAGTACTTAGATGGAGAATCATAAATAATTGAGAGGGAAGTTGACATCTTGATATTCAATGTGAACTCGGTAAACCTGGTAAACACAATTTAAATTATTGACTTAAGCTTATTGGTAGCAGATTTCACACTCACTTCTTTTTCCACGAGGGACACATCCATTGGCACCTAACTATGTGCGAGATGCACCATATGGAAGGGCCCCTTCAGGAGAACAGAAATGTGTTTCTCACAGCTATGTTAACACTGTTGTAAGAAATAATTTAGTTTGATGAGCCATAACTAGCATGCATTTGCCTTTATCTCTTCCAGCACAATCACAGTGTCTTCAGAGCCAATTGCAACAAGATTATAATGTTGTTTACAGATGGTGGTGAAGAAAAAGCACAGGAGATCTTCCAGAAATACAACCGTGACAAAAAGGTAAGGTTCACTTCTGGAAGCATTTTACTGTTTGAAATCCCTTCCTTTTTATGGAAGTGAACCGCATCTCTCTATCTGTCTGTCCTCTTGTAAAAGCATGTGGTTTACAACTAGAAAACGGATTGCAGTAGGACCTTCTTATCTACAGAATCAGTATCTGCTGATTTACTTGTCCACAGTCTGAAAATATTAAAAGAAAAATATTTTAAAATAAAAGATGAAGTTACCAGAACTGGCCACTAGAGGGAGCCAGAGACCATGCTGTATACACCATTCGCTATTAAAATGGAGTTCCCTATAATCTGCATATTTCAGTAACCGTGGTGGGTGGTTTGGACCAGTCCCCTGTGAATACGGGAGTCCTACTGTACCTTAGAACTCAATGGGTTAACACAAATGCGTGTTTTCCTCTCGTAGTTAAGTGTCCAGGAAGTGCAGATCTCTCAGTACTACATTTACAGTACAAAGCTGTGATCGTGTCCATTCAACCAGTTCCAAAAAGAAAAGCAAGTTGATCCACTAAATGTGTGCTGAGGCAAATAGAATAACGAGCCAGTCTTTTAAGGGTACAATTGCTTCTAGATATTGAATGAGGAACTCTGCTAGTGAGGTTCCAGAAGAGCAAATGGTAGAATAGTAGATCACCCAAAGTGGCTGCTTGGGGTCCCCTGATTTGATACCTCTGTGTGGTCTTGGGCAAGCTGCACGGTCCAAGGATGCTATCAGGAGGAGGGGCTGGAAACGGTGGGAAGGTCACCATACATTATAATTGACTTTATGGTACATTAAATTATTATTGAATGTTATATATATATATAAAATACTTGTTTGTTACTCCAGTCTTAGTCACATCAGGGGTTTCTCTGGATCTCTTCAAAACATTTTACTGGGTCTTCATTATAGGGAGCTTGTTTCCCTTAGATTAGATTAGGCATCCTTCAGTCTTGAGGGACTATGGTAACATGCTCTGTATGGAGGTCTTGGAACAGTGTCTTGTGTGGCTGAGAAGGCCAATTCGAGAGTGACAATCCCTCCCACATTGAAGACAAATACAATCTGTACCCTGTCCAGCTCCCTGATTTTGCTGGTTTC